ACCTGGCATAGGTAATCCTGTGCCACAGAGCAAGCTCCCAGGAAATGCCACCTTCCAACATGCCTTCAGGCTCTCTCTCTCCCTAGTGAAACATCCAGGCATCCTGAAAAGTGGGGAAGCCAGAAGGGAACACATACTGCAGCAAACCATATCTAGTGGAAGTTAGACGCCTTCTCCTACAATTTATTGTTAAACCATTCCCTAGTGGGGACTAGATAGTTCAGGAGACTAGGAATGGAATACAGAGCATTTCACTGCAAGGGCATGGGTGTACATCCAGACCAGACTGGTAGTGGCTGGAAGCTATTTCCATCTGAAGCCTGTTTGGTAACATATGTGAAATCAGAAGGTGGATGATAGCCTAGTAATTACCACATCTGACTTTGAATGACTTCCCCACTGGCCAATAATCTTAGCAGAAAAGCCAAGGCTTCACTAGGCCCTGGGGGCACAGTTCTTTCCTCCTTAGAAAGGGGTCTATAAGTTTCCCAGGAGAGGGGAATCTTCCCCAGCCCTTCTGGTGTGCAGGGAGGGAAGATTATTTTAAATGATCATCACTAGTGGTATCTTTGCCTCAGGTGCCACTCACCACCACGCGACATTGGGGACACAGCATGAAAACCCTGGGCACAAGAAGGATCCCCTGTCCTTAGTGGGCTGCTCTGTGCCTGTGTGATCTGCTCAAACTTTTTTATTAGGTCTGAGGAAGCGGCAGAAAGGATCCATCCACCAAAGGAGTGGCTGCACACTGGAAGGATGGAGCAGGCAAGCAGCAGGTGGACGGTTGGTCATGCAGCAGGAAGATCGCACTATAAGGCTTCAGCCATGGAATCAGGATGCTTGTTGTTTATGTAAATAAGGAATCACATATTAAAATATGCCAGTTAGGGCATTACACCATTTGCATAAACTCTCCAGATTTCCCCAGCCTTCTCAGGTAAGAATAAGTTAGCACAAAACAAGCTCCCCAACTTGGGACTCAGCTTAGTCCTCCCTCACCTAAAGGTACTCTCTTGCCCTCTGTCTTCTAAGCAGACACCTCGGTAGCCTTCCCCTGATTGCTAGTACAGCAGAGCTGGCGTTAACCCCTTGTTTACCAGGCAGTACCCCTGCACTCTTCTGGTCAGGACAGAGACCTGTTGGCTGAGCAATGTTGGGAAGTTTGCCCTACTAGTGCCCCTGCTCTACCTGTTCTGGGGTTTCCATCTCCAGGGCTGTTCATCCAGCACCTGAAATATTTGAAAACAAAAACTGGCCTACCCAACTCCTACACACTTAAAGATGCAAGGATGTGTGATTCACTGCCCCAGACACGTGACCCACCAAGGCTCTTGTCCTGGACGTCTATGCCTGCAAGGGATTGTGTGGGCAAGGGCGTCTGCCATGTCACCGTGAGGTTGCTAGGAGTGCAACGTGCATGGTAACAAGTGCCTGGTATAAACAGTGCCCTGAGGCTGTACCAAGAACAGTCAAGAATGGATGAGCTGGAACAGGCAGAGCCCATCTCATTTCACTCAATGAAGCAAATGCCTGAGTGCTGAAAATCAGAATCCTGACAGATTGTGATGGGACATGCCCCCATCTCTCTGGTGGAAAGGCTAACAAGCATTCCCAATTAGGCACGCCTGCAGAACATACGCCACCTGGAGAAGTGGAGTTTGAAAGGATGAAACTGGCCACAGAGGGGGAAAGTATTTCTAGGAACAGAAAGACTGCCAGGGCCTGTGAGCGAGCTCCAGTAACAAGAGCTCAGCCTGAGGCAGTTGCTAACCTTTTCCTTCATACCCCTCACTTGAGGCAGACACACTATAAGCTTGGTATAAGCGAAGGCCATGGAGGACTGCTTCCAGCCATTGGTCTATGGTGGGTCCTGGAAAGTGCTGGCGGGGCTAGAGACAAGGGGCCTGTAATTCAGGCTCTAAAAAGACCCCTGGAGTGAGCTGACCTCCCGCTGGGAACAGCATGATTGCCCATGACTGGGAGTTTCTCTAAGGGACTTAGGGGCAAGAGACTCAAAGATACTATGGCTCGAGCCCAAGCTGAGGGTCAGTCAACTACAAAGCCCCCGCTTCACAGCACCACTATCCTGACACCAAATTCACCTATTTGCACACACACCACTGTCAATCACTGCACCTTGATGTTAGTTAACTGCTGCCCCTTGGGTTAGCATAGCTGGTGCACAATGCATTGTGGGAGGCAAAGGATCACTACCTGACAGGTGTCCTGCTCTAACTCGTTCTCTTTCAAAGCAGTTCCAATGTGCTGCTGTTATTTAGCCAGATCTGCAGAATCATGACATGCAAAGTCTGATTCTTTTCCCCCCGTGACACCAACTGATGCCATTATTTCAAAAGCTGCACCAGTGCAACAAGGAGGTAAGACTCCACTTACTTGAACGTAAGCTCTTGGGGCAGGACCTGTCTTTGTGTCTGCGTATGTACAGCAGTCAGCTCAGGGGGCTCTTGCTCCATGACTAGGGCTCCTAGGAGCTACAGCAATACAAATAATAAAGCACTTTCCATCGGAAGTTCTTGTTGCCCTTTTAAACATCAATGTATTAACCCTTGCATGGCCTTTTGGGAACCCAAGTGAATGGAGCTTAGAGCTGTGGCAGAGTTTAGCAAAGTACAACCCCTAATTCTTTCCAGTGTAATCCCTCAGATGGGTGCTAAGAAGATTCATCTTTATAAAGGACTTTGAGATCCCTGGATGAAATAAAGCTCTGGGGTGGTCAATTAGCCAAATCCTGCAGTCCTTAAGGAGGCAAATCTTCCACCGAAGTCAGTGGATGTTTTGTTGGTGCAAAGAATATAGGGTTAGCTTCTTAACATGTAAGCAGAACTCTGCAAGGATTGCAAGTCAGAATATGCTCAGGCTCCTGGGCTTCCAAACCTCTTTTAAAAGGGAAACATACTGAGCTAAGAAACTAAATGGTAGATGTCCAGGCAAACAAAGTGCTACCACTGTACAGAAGGGAAGTTTAAAGATGTGGACTGAAAAAAAGACTGTGTTTAAACGCTGGATTTCAGTGGAGCTGCAGTGCTCCCAAAGAGGCCGTTTGTAGTAGTGCAGACTAAAATTAATGCTCTAGCAGCAGTAAGGATGAGAACGTTCAGAGTATACACACACTTATCCTTCATTTTCAAAAAAATATATATTTTTGCATTCATAAAATGAGCCGGATTGGTGCACCTACAGACTGAATACAATTAGCACGAATACCAAACTTTTCCCCTTCAAAACACTTAACAAACAGGACTAGACTCCTCTAACCACAAAAAATATAAAATAAAAAATGCAGCCCAGCAAGTCTCCCCCCTCTGCTTACCGCCTCCCTTGGCCTCAACACTGCCCTGGAGGGAACCTTGTAAGGAGGCAGAGTTTAGTCTTCATTGCCCATTCAGTTTGGGCCACTCTGCTGGGGCTACCGATAACAGGCTCATTAGGGATGTTTGGATGGACCCAAGAGCACACCAGGCAGGAAGCAGGTACCGGGAAGGACAGGAACTGGACTGTAAAGCACATTAAGGTGGACACTGCTGCTCTACCAGGGGAAAGGACACAGTCATTCATTTCAATTAAACCAAAAACCAAAGCTCGTTCTGTACTTTATTACTTTCCCACTCGTCCCTATCCCCAACAAGTAAAATATGACATCTTCAAATAATCAGGTTTACAAGAGAATGGAAGTCACATTAAGTACAGTAGGATCAGTGCAATCTCCCCACATCATTAAGTAAGCAAACCAAGGTTTCTTCCCTCCTATTAATATCAGAGATTAGTTCAAGTTGGGTTTTTATCAAAAACCCATAACTGATTCCACCTTATCTACATTCCCAGTGTTATTTATGAAATTATAGAAGACTGCAGCATAATTTCCAATACCTACAGCTAACATACCAATAATGCCATTTCTCACAACTTTATCACAAGGCTCATAATATATGTGTTACTTAAAAGCCCCAGGTCTTGGAGACCAGTGATTAGATGAGAATCTCAGCTTTCATTTGAAACAAAAATAAGTACATTTCTAGCCCTCAAGATTTAAAAGAAAAGTTTGAAAATGTGAAAAAGTGCACTTGGAAGGCTCAAAATCTGGATGGTGAAGGGGAAACCCCCCCAGAATTTAGCATCTCATGATTGTGAGGGATCTGGCATGATTTCTGAACAGTCCATCATCTATTTATGTCCAGCTGCACCCACAGCTTAGGGGACAGTTGATTACTTTACAGGCATGCTCTGCAGCCATCCCACCTCTGGCTGTGATTTAATCAAGTCTCACACTTAACGCAGGGTTGGGGCTGGGTTAGCAGTTGTATAGCTAGGGAAAAAATCCATGTATTTCAAGGAGTGAGTGGTATCCTCTTCTTGGAGTTACAATGTTGGGTCAATACTCAAGAATATTATTGGGGGAAGGGGGACTTGGAACTGTGTATTATATGAGAGAGAGAACCACAGTCCTGACCACAACTGGTCATTACAGATCCCATGGCAGTTTCTACTACAGCAGGGACACAAAATCCATGTAAGCTCCTTGGGGCAGGACCATCTTTTTGTTCTGTGTTTGTACAGCACGTAGCACACTGTGCTCCTAGTCTAGGACTGTGGCTTATAGGCTCTACAATAATACAAAGAATAAGGCCAGGCCAATTCTTAATGTGAGCAATTACATTGTGCTTGCCTAAAGATTACCTTGTAGCTTCACTGAAAATAGTAATTTCACTTCCTGTCTATAAACCTGTTGTACAGTGTTCCTGGCTACTGTTAAACTGCTACCACATTCCATAGGGTGGCTGCTGTGATCCCTGTATAAAATTACATGAAGTGATCCGAGGTCCGATAGATGCTGATGCCTTTATATAGCATCCTCAGTGCACGGCAGTCACCTTACTGAGCATCACCCATGCTGCTTACTCATGACAGGATAAAAGTCATTGGCATGCAGGGCTTTTGAGCACTTTCAGGCAACAAAAGGGACTGAATTAAAAAGAAGCTGCTTAAGTAAGAAAGTTGACTTTATTTTGAAGTTATGCAAAAACATGTCTCTGTTCAGAGCATTCTAGAAATCTAGCCACACTGCATTACAATTACAGCTAGCCACAATTTTGTACATAGCCTCCCATGAGCTGGCCAGCTTCCAGATCAGTAAATGGCTTCTGTCTCCAGTTCTGTGTCACATACACCTGATGATCTTCACAGATTTCCTAGAGATATTCCACTCTCGATATGGAGAAACTTCAAGGCAACCCAGTCCAAAGAACGGTAATAGGTCCATGTGAAGTGGAATGAGACAGCAATAGAAGTGCATCGGCGCAGTGGATATGGCCTATCTAAACAGGGAAATTAGACTACTAGCTGGAAAGGGAAATCTTTTGTTGGGTGGGAAGCACCAACACAAACCAGGGTGCACTGACATGGAAATGGCTGATGCCAGGAGAGTTTGGCTGAAATTGGACCGACTTAAATCACTGGTTTCCTTTAGTCTCTGCATCCCTGACACCAATGACAAAACATTGGACTAGTCTCAATATTTATGAAAATGAAACCCTGCATACATGAAACAGAGCAGTAGAATTCATCATACAGCAGGTTTTGCTTCATGTCCCCCAAGCTGCACCCAGAGAAGATGAGATTGGGGAAGAACAATGAAATTATTTTGCTGCTATGTCTTGGTGGACAGCTGAAAGGTGAATGAAATAAAATGAAATCAAACTGGGGAGCTGTCAGGCTGCTTAACCCAGTACAGCTATGCTCAAGGTGGTGTCTCTTCCCATGCCTCCTACAACAGAGGCTCTGTGTACTGGTGGCCACACACTTCCTACTTGCCTACATCTTCTCCAAGTGGAATTTGGAACTTCAGGTCTACTGACTAACACATCCCCTGCTGGAGACAGAAAGTTCACTTTTTCCTAGCGAGGAGGTTTAACACTCCCAGCTGTCTGATGCAGGCATCCAGCTGTCTGTCAGCTTCATTATCCCCCAGAGACTTCACATTAGCTTGCTCAGTACATTCCTTCTGCAAGCGAAGCAGCTCCTGATCAGCTGTGGAGACGAAAATCAGTCATTAGGTTCTTCCTCATTCAGACAAATTGGTAGGGGTAACTATCACAGTAATTAGGGTAGGGGAATGTTCACTGAGGCAATATGGGAGAGTGCACAGAGCTGGAAATCATCATGGCTTGGGTACCCTTTCTGGCAAGAGGTTGAAGGACAACTGCCACAGCCATTCAAGGAATGGCAAGAGCTCCACACACACCCCTGCTGAGATTACAAAATAGCAACTCATGAAGGTGTGAGCTGAACCCCATGCAGCAGCCCTAATGAAGTCACAGGAGGCTGCACACCACGGGTAGCTGCTTTGATAGCAAGTATCTCCCTAAATGAACATGCCCTAAATTGATAAGATTGGATGCAGTGTATTATCCTCCCAGAAATAGCTTGATCTTTGGATTTTTCTCCGATGGCCACTAACAGCCAGTTCTAGTGTAGTCTGCCATCAAGTCTAACACCCAAACGCAGAACCTGACTGGGCCTTCCAGTCTGGACCTGGCTAAATCTACTATCTCAAGGAGACCCTAAAACCATTTTATTGTTATTCCAAAGTACGTTGAGATCCTTGGAGGAATCGTTCTCAAGTTCTATCAGGAAAGGATCCATACAGGATTCTTCTATAGAGGCTCAATATAGAAGATTATTAATCACACCCAAACTCCTCAGATCTTTGGGGAAGTTTTGATGTGGATCCAAACTCTGTGCATCTTTATTATTATCCACAGAAGTTAAGATGGTAAGGGGACACTTCAAGTTATTTAAAAAAAAATCACTTCTAAGTATTCTTTTATCTGTTGTTACCAGCAATCTCCAAGAGTCCGCTTGTGGGAGTCCTTCAGCCAGCAACAAAGGAGAGAAATTTTTTAAAAGAAAATGGTATTGTGAAATCACAGAAACTGACAGAGGGACTCAGGGACAGGCACCATGCTTGAACCTACTTTCAACTCATTTTTTGAAAGTGACTAGGTTTCAAGGTGACAGTGTCTGTTTCAAAAATACCTAGACTTCAAGACAGCACATCTGCTTTAATTTATCCAAGCAAAGATCAAAGTCAATTACCTGCATGGCTTTCTGCCTGTGCCTCGGAAAGGGTATTTTGGGTGGTCTCCAGTACCTTAGTCAGATGGACTTTCTCGCTTTTAACCATACGCTGTTTCTGATGGAGAGAGGTTATCATGGTTTCTGATTCAGCTATCAACTGTTCTAATTTGGCTGCATCTGGCTGCTCGCTAAAAAGGTAACCAGAAATAGAATGATCTTAAGTTGGCGCTTAAAGTCTACATTGACCCTAGTATTTCAATTAGACACTATAAAAATCCTAGTAGTAAAACAAAAACATAGGAATTGCCAGGCTGGATCCTTCTAGCTCAGTATCCTGTCTCCAATAGTGACCAGTCCAGATTCATCAGAGGAAGGTCTAAGAATCCCACAGTAGATGATGTGGGATAATCTGCCCCACATGTAGATCTCATCCTGATCTGTCATAGTTAAGAGATTATCTCAAGCCCTTGAAGTATGTGGTCTAATGTCCCTTCCAGAAAATTTGTTGTCAATAATTACAACTGTGGATATTCTTGATACCTGTAAGTGTCCAATCCAAAGTATCTAGCCGGTTTTTCTAGAGCAAAAGTCTCAATGTAAAGGTAAATCATAGGATTAGTGGAGCTGCAACTCCCCCAATAGGCCATTTGCAATACTGCAGCATAAAGTTCATGCCACAACAGCAGCAATAATAAGATTAACAGCTCTCACAAAAGTTCCATTCATGTTCTTTTCCATTTTTTTCTGTGTGAATTTAATGCTTGTGAGATGTGATGGAAGACAGCCCCTATACACTGAATATCAACAACACGTAGCTCATATATAGCACTTCCCACTTCAAAGCTCTTTACAAACATTAACTAGCTAAAGCCTGAAGTCCTCTATGCAGCCACAGAGCCAGTACGTCTCACCCTTACCCAGGAGGAGCCTCCTATAGGTGAGGGGAGATATTTCAGAAGAAGTTATTTTCATTACAGTAGCATCCTTGGAGTCTCCAGTCAGGGCTCAGAGCCCCATCGTGCTAGGGGCTGTACAAACAAATAGGAAAATGACAGTTCCTGAGTTGAAGAGCTTCCCGATTAATGACGAGATGCATCAGATGGATGAAACTAACAGGTGGTGGTGGTGTAGCGACAACAATCTTTTTGTGCTGTGTTTGTACAGCACCGAGCACAATGGGGTCCTGGTTCATGCCTGGGGCTCCTAGGTGCTACAATAATAATAATATGCTGGCTTACATTCAGATGGTAACAGCAAGATGTGGCAAACTGGCAACATTCTGCAGACATCACAGCAGACATGAGTCTCTAAGAGGGATGTGAAGGAGAATAAGAGAATGACCTTGAGAATTTCTGGTGGGTATGCAAGGGACAGCATGGGAGAAAGCATGGAGGTGCTTGTGGGAGAAGTTGACTAATGGGCCTGTCCTAGGAATGGGTTCTGAGGTAAGCAGGACTGGGCAGGTCTCACTCATCTGGAAGGCAATTTCATGGGTTGGAGGCAACTTTTAAAGGGATCATTTCACATACAGCTGTTTTTCTAATGCACTCCAGGAAGGCTTGCCATCGCCCTTGAGAGTCAGATGTAGCATAGTTAAAGTAGCGAGGGAAAATTAAGAGGACTTCCATACTCAGAGGAAGAATGGTCCAGTGGTTAGGGTGCTCGCCTGGGACTCAGAAGTACCATGTTCAATCTCTATTTCGCCAAACTCCGTGTGTGACCTGAGGCAAGTCACTTAACCTCTGTGCCTCAGTTTCCTCCCTCCGTCTGTAGCATAGGTATAACAGCACTTCAAAGGGAAATTTTGAGGATAAATACAGTAAAGAGAAGTGTTCAGATACTACACTAAAGGCAGCAGGGGCAGATATGTATCAAACAGATTATTTATATTGCAGTAGTGCCTACAAGGCCAGTCAAGATCAGGGTCAGACCTACTCATTGGACACCCCCTCCCCACCCAAAAGGCAGTCCCAGCCCCACAGAGCTTACAATACAAGTACAATCACATTTTCATGTGAATAGCATCATGCTGGACATCTGGACATTTTGTATATAACCAGAATACATTAAAGGCACAGAGTGCCACACATCACATTAGGAATGTCTATCATGGACGTGATCATCTGAATGTGCAATTTTACTCTAAAATATGACTGCAAAAATAGCACTGTGGGGCTCTGTGTATTGTTGCTAATGGACAGCAGATCAAATACACTCAGGTTATAAGTTAAAGGATTTTTTTTTTTCTGTCAGCCCAACATACTCAGCCTGGGCTCTGACAGTCATGGTTGGGGTCTTTTCACCCCAAACATCATGTCTGGTAAAAGAGGTTCCATAGGCCAAACTAGGCCATCGGTGACACCTATGCCACTCACTGCATTCAATGGGGCTGCTCAGGTGTAACTGAGTGCAACTTCGTAAACAATTCTGATGATGAATAAGATGGAAGAATCCAGCTCTCCCTCTCTTACATGTGCTGACTTGGCAAAACTAAGAGGAGTTAAGACTTATTTTTGTCACTCATCTGAGCAAAGACATTTCTGTAAACACGCAAGGAGCAGATGTGAGCAATGGGAACGTGCCATTTGTACAGTCACTTTTCAGAAGACAATAGGTTACAGACTCTCCAGGTTGCCTTTGACACCTGATTGAACAAGAGAGTGAAGTAGTATTAACCTAACGGGTTGAACCCCCAGCTGAGCTGGCACAGCTGGGCAGAGAGGATGGGAAGGTCGCTCTAAACCATCTTTCCATCTCCCAAATTACAGGTACACAAAATGGCCCCCAGCATAACTTAGAGCCTGCTCCAAATCACGCTGGCAGTAGTGATCTCTTAGGGACCACTGTGCAGACAGAGAAACCTGTGCTCCAGCCCTAGCTCTTCCACCACCTGCCACGCCCTCAGCCCACATCTCTGCACCCTGACATACCTCCTTCACGTGTTGGGGGAGGGTGGGAGAGAAGTGGGTTGTGTACAGCCAGCTGGCACCTGCTTTATGCCACTGGAAGATTCTCCTGCACTGGGGGGGAATCCTTGACTGACGCTTTGGGACAGCTTTCCTGCCACTTTGTTAGCAGGACAAAGCTGATACACTAGGAAACAAGGATCAAATGCAGCATCTTTTAGAAGTAATATAGGGAGCCAAAAATGTTGCCTCCAAAATATGCTGTACAAGTTCCCTTGTTTGAAATGGCAATCAACCCAGTAGGCAGACTCCCTCTGCATTTGAGGGAGAGTAAAAGGGAGGGATTTCCTGGTCTTAGATGAACGCTTGTTACCGTTGCTGCAAGTGGAATAGCACATGAGTGCTCTGTCTCAGACATTTCTAATGTGCCCATCACTGTAGTATTTTGATACATGAATCAACAAAGAATCACTGAGGTCTAAGTGAATCTGATTGCTGCCACACAACATGCTTTAAAACTGTTAGTGAATGGAAGATTTTTAAGGGACATTGCATTATTGGCAGCCATTCGCTTATGCTAACCCCTGTGGGCTTGCTTTGCTTATACTGTGGGTAGTGAAAGACACACCTAGCCAAAGGAATCAAACCTCTCAGCAGTCTCCTAGTCCGGATCAAGGGACAGCTGGTATTTAATGCAGAAGGACAAGCAATAGGCCCCACCGAGTCCACCTGGCAATGTCACCTCCCTACCCGAGCAGAGAGCAGATCATATACCTGCAGCTTCAACCCCACCCCACAATTTGATTCAATCAGGCACAAAAGAGGCAGCCTGTGGGCTCCTGGCAGTTCACCAGCCAGCCCACCCCTCTGATTATTCTCTATTACTCCCAGGAAACTAACTGCTCAAATGCTACTATTTGATTTCACATAATGAACAATCTTAAGCATACAGCACATGTACAGTCTCTGTATCAATAATGTAAACCGTACTGTTGTGGTACATGTGCCTGTTTAATCAGTTTCTTTGAAGAGGCCCTGGTAGCACCCTGCTAATTACCCCAAGATCATAATTAGAAGTATATTGCAAGCCATATATTTTTTCTTCAAACATCCTCGGCTCTAACTGGAAGGATCTATACCTGGTATCTTGAGCAATATCCTTTTTCAGCCTTTTCAGTTCAGCTGCAACAGTTTGAAGTTGTTCTCGAGTCTTGAATTCCTCTTCCAATACTGGATGCAAATGCACAATCTGTGCTGCCAGTGACAGACAGTTCTCTCTTTCTGTGACACTACAAAATCAGAGTACAAAAGCATTATTTCTCTTCCCAGTCACTGTTCTAGTGACTACAATTTGTGTTAGTTATATACAGCAGAACTGCTTTATACAACATGCCAGCACCAAAATTCAACCATTGAGTTGTCTGTAAAAAGCCCTTTCATGTTCCTTTACAGAAAGTTTCCTGCCAACCAAAGACCTTGTGATATGGCACTGATATTAAATCCACATACATAGGTTTTGGACTTAATAGTGCACTCTGTAAGTACTATTAAAATGTAGTCGTGATTAAAACAAAGCTAAACATGATACTAATTAATTAGCAATGTTAAAAGATTTATTAGGAGACTTACTATTGTGCTATTTCTGTCTCAAGTCTCATGATCTCATCCTTCTCTGTGCTCACTCTCACTTCGCTTTCATGTACCTTACCCAGCAGCAATGATAGCAACATCTGGAAAGGCAAAATAGGGAAAGAAATTCAAGTAAACACAAAACAAGCCGAGTTGATAGGTGGAGTTTGAAAGCTCAAGTCAGTTCAGTGTTCCTGGTTCATTTTCACCCAGGGCCACAGCAGCCTGCAGCTCCTGATGTGGAAGGTTTATACATTTTGAAAGACTTGCACCTCGCTAAGCCAAGACAATAAAAAACTGGTCCATTTGGAACACATGCATGGTGGCAAAGCAGAGGGACGTAACCCTGGTGATAGTCTCAAGGCATAATTAAAAAAAAAATCCTCTATTTTTCCTTTTCCAAAGCTGTGCTGGTTAAAATGAACCTTAATATTCTCACTATCAATTAAAAATGAGACATCAGCAAAACAGAACTTTGCCAGGGGATAATGGTCTCCTACTCGACAAAAACACCATGGTGATATGAGAAGATTTATTTTTAAAACAGATGTAACACTATGACTCTGGGTGGGTTGCCAGCAGCAGGGATTCAACCTTCCAACTCTGTTTCTGAAAGCCTCTGGTGCCTGAGATAGAAGGCCCAACTCTGTTAGCCAAAGCTATAGCAGGCTCATCAACCTCTACATGTGACCGAACCAACACCAAATGGGGACAGAGCATCACAGTGAGTGGGTGTTGTGGTCTACACCCTCATTAGTCCTGTGATGTTTTACTTCAATTAATATTTTTATGATAACATTAACTGTCACTAGACCAGAAGAAGTCTATCTATTGGAATTAGCATAGGCCTGGGAGCAAGGAACCATGAGACCACTAAGCAAACTCAGGTCACACCAACATGGCCAAAGGCAAGCTGGGGTGACACTAGTTTTTAAGCATACTCATCAGCCTGATGCTACTTCAACAGTCAAGAGGCTAAACCACTAAAAATAGATTTATAATGAAAGCCACACACACAGCGACCATAATGAAATACATCTCCTCATGCACAGAAGTTTACCTCTAGGTCCCCACTGCTTAGGTCAGAGAGCAAGTCATCTTCATCCAACGTTAAATAGGACTGCACCTTTTCCATCTTTGACACTGTAAAAAGAGATAAATTCAATGGTGTGCAAGAGGAGCCGCTAATGACATTTCAGCCACGTCAATGAAAGGTAAGTTGGGCTGATTTCTCCTGGCTTCAAGGGAGCTTAAACCTCTGGGTCCTGTTAAATCATCCCTGCCAGAAATGACTTATCCCTGCAGCTCACAGAAAGAACTTCTGAAGAGCAGATTTTTTTGCTTTTGAAATTAACCAGATTGCACCAAGTGTCAGATATTTAAAATAATTCCCATGGAAGGATACAGCAAGAGCGGTCTTCACCCACAAGGATCCCACTTAGCCATGTCCTCAATATACTCTGCATATTTTCCAGTAGTAAAGTCTATGCATTTTTGGCAAAGTGTTCACCAGGTGGCATGGCCTCTCTTCACTCAGTTACTGTGATAAGAAAGTTTTGGTGTTCAAACAGGAAAATACTGTAAATGGATAGATTCCTCAGCCTCTCTTTTGCACGTGCAAAGTCCCCTAGTCAAGGAGTTTATTCCAGGCTAAGGGAGAGAATTTGTCAGAACCCCTTGGTAACGTAGTGGTGGCACATCACTGAGTAAACGCAGTCCATTTCAGACAACACTGAGCTTTTAAGGCCTGCTCCTATTGAACTGACTAGAACGTTGCTACTGATTTCAAGGGGAGCAAGGCCTTTTGTCAAGAACCTCTGTAGAGAGCACATTGTCATCTCTCCTCTATAAACCTGCCTGCAAATCCTTCTTAAGTCACCAGTAAAATGAGCAGGCCAGGCTCAGCTTGGTCTCTAGTCTACTACCAATCTCTTCAAAATCTGTCAGCCAAGCAGCAGCTGTCCCACTGTGCCCCCCGCTGGGTCAGAGCATGGCAAAGTGGGATGCTCGAAAGAGGAGTAAGTGGCAGGGAGGGACAGAAGTTGGGGTCCCCAGCCCACTCCACCAGCTGTAACCCATCTTCCTCCAGCAACCCCAAAGCTTCCCCAACCTCAGCCACCCCCACAACCCCAGCTTCCCTTAGTTACTTCCTGGCCCCCCAAAGCCCCTCCATCCAGCCCCTAAACCTCCCCCCATCTTCACCCGCAACCGCCTCTGCCCTCCTCCAGTTCAGCCCCTCCACCCCCAACCACCATTCTTTCGTCCCCTTTGTCACAGCCCCCCCTTTTCCCCTCCACAGACGCCCCCCACCACTCCCACTTCGGCCCCTGTGCCCCAGCCCCCCAACCGCCCCCAGCCCTCCCCCACTTCAGCCCCTCTGCCCCAGCCCCCCAGCCCTCCCCCACTTCAGCCCCTCTGCCCCAGCCCCCCTCCCACTTCGGCCCCTGTGCCCCAGCCCCCCCACCGTCCCAGCCCCTGTGCCCCAGCCCCCCAACCACCCACAGCCCTCCCCCACTTTGGCCCCTCTGCCCCAGCCCCCCAACCCTCCCCCCACTTCGGCCCCTCTGCCCCAGCCCCCCCACGTCCCAGCCCCTGTGCCCCAGCCCCCCAACCACCCACAGCCCTCCCCCACTTCGGCCCCTCTGCCCCAGCCCCCCAACCCTCCCCCACTTCAGCCCCTCTGCCCCAGCCCCCCTCCCACTTCAGCCCGTCTGCCCCAGACCCCCACCGTCCCAGCCCCCCCCACTTCAGCCCCTGTGCCCCAGCCCTCCCCCACTTCAGCCCCTGTGCCCCAGCCCCCCCAACCCTCCCCCACTTCAGCCCCTCTGCCCCAGCCCCCCAACCCTCCCCCACTTCAGCCCCTCTGCCCCAGCCCCCCTCCCACTTCGGCCCCTCTGCCCCAGCCCCCCCCCACCGTCCCAGCCCCCCCACTTCAGCCCCTGTGCCCCAGCCCCCCAACAGCCCCCAGCCCTCCCCCACTTCAGCCCCTCTGCCCCAGCCCCCCTCCTCCCACTTCAGCCCCTCTGCCCCACCGTCCCAGCCCCCCCCCACTTCAGCCCCTGTGCCCCAGCCCCCCAACCGCCCACAGTCCTCCCCGACTTCGGCCCCTCTGCCCCAGCCCCCCAACCCTCCCCCACTTCGGCCCCTCCGCCCCAGCCCTCCCCGACTTCGGCCCCTCTGCCCCAGCCCCCAACCGCCCCCAGCCCTCCCCGACTTCGGCCCCTCCTCCCTCCACCGCCCTCCTTCGGCCCCGGACCCCAACGGCTCCCACTCAGCCCCGCGGGAGGGCGCGGGCTGCACTGACCTCGCACTGCTGTCAATCACCACATGCAAATGATCACACGGCCTAATTTGCATATTCGCCCATCGCTCCGCTCCCGCGGGCAGCTCCCCAGAGCCGGCTGCGCCTGCCGCGCGCGCCGCCTCCCCTCCCACCCTTTCAAACCTGCCGCTTGCCGTGACCTCATCACCCTGCGCCGCGGCCGCAACCATAGAGCTGGGGCGCGTCGGCCGCTCTATGGTTCCCTCCCGCGAAGGCGTTCGTTCCGGTGGCACGCACGCCCCCTGCTGGGCGGAGGGACAGCAAGATGCCGCCTGCTGAAACCCCAGCTCCAGGAGTCCTGCGATCGTGGGCGAGCGCGGCTCGCGGGCAGGGGCTAGCCCTGGCGAGTGCCCCGAGGAGCAGCCTCAAAACCCCAAGCCAGAGCCAGGTGGCCACTGAACAGAGCAACAGCCATCCTGGGTGAGATCCATGGTCCATCTAGCCCAGTGGCCTGTCCCTGACAGCGACCGGGCAATGATCAGCACAGGGCAATTTGTGGGGCATGATCCATCCCCTGCCGTCCACTCCCAGCACTGACCATCAGAGGCTTAGCAACACCCACCAGGTGGGGTTGCATCCTTGCCCATCCTGGATCATAGCCACTGCTGGACCTATCCGCCAGGAACTTATGCAGTTCTTTTTTTTTTTTTTAACCCAGTTATACTTTTGGCCTTCACAACGTCCCCTGGCAAGGAGTTCCACAGGTTGTGTGAAGAGGTAGTGCCTTCTGTTTGTTTTAAACCTGCTGCCTATACATGTCCTTGGGTGACCCCTGGTTCTTGTGTTATGTGAAAAGGTAGATAACACTTCCTTATTAACTTTCTCCATACGGTGACAGGAGGTACCCCTGTACTCACACACTATTGTAATAATCTTTGTACAGTGTACGTCTTGTGAGGTATCATTTGAAAACTCATAATTTGCTGGCTCTTGCCCTGGTAAAATATGCGTGGCCAGATTGTATTTGAAGTTATAAGATTCCCCTGCATGGTGTTACCAACACATGTTCCAAACTGAGGGTGGCAAACAGGTCTGTCCTAAACAAAAGAAAGTGTGCTCTGCTTAATTTGCATTTAAGCAGTAAACAGAGTCATCAAGCAGAAAGGGGAGATAAAGAAAGCTCAAACAGGTGAGGGAAAGCAGGGAACATCTTTCTCCATAGATCTTTTGTCTCCTAGTACCAGCTGGAAATGTTTTTTCAAGAGGAGGACTGAACTAAGTTCCTTGTAAGCTGCACGGCTGCCCAGCAGGCTATCAAGTGCCACGCAGTTCAGGTGTCCCTCCCCACATTGCTGTGAGCTGCTCCCAGGAACCTCCCGCTTGCTGTGCAGAGGGCGGGGGAGAAAGGGGCACTGATGTCAGGGTGTTCCTCTTCCCCTGCCCCTGTACCCCATCTCCACAGAGCAGGGCGGGACATGACAGGCTCAGGAGGGAGGGAGCTTGCTGGCAGCTGCTGCTGTCTGAACTTGCTGATCAACTTAAAAGGGCAGTGTACTTAAAGTGCAGTCAGCGTACTTAAAGGGGCAACACATGTCTCTGTCACAGACACATACACTCACCTCCCAACACATACTTATATTGTTGTTGTTACTTCTTGATACTTCTTTCAAAGTGTGTTATTTTAGTTTTTTGGCTGGTCTATGCATTTCATAATTTTTATTTCTCTCTTACACTTAAATTTAATTCTTTGAGTAGTGAGGTTTAAAATGCCGAACCTATCCTGGTTGGAGTAATTATCCTTATGGTAACTTTTAAAAAATATATATTATAGCTAGGTTTTTGGTTTCTACTGGTGGCGCACATTCACACATTATCTTGATATGGTTCACATAACAAAATTCATTCCACACATGGATGCAAAAAAATTAGAGGGAACACTGACTGACACCATAAAAAGGAGGGACAAACGCGCCAAGGGATCCCCTCTTTCTCTCTCCCTGCCCATTGCATTATTAGCACCAGAAGCAAAAAAAGGTTCTGACCTAAGACGTTTGGTCAGTAAGACTGCTGAAAGTATATGGAGAGAAATTTTGCTTGAATCTGAGATTGTTAAGTAAGGCACCAGTAGTATTTTAATTTTATTTTCTTGTAACCATTTCTGATTTTTATGCCTCATTACTTGTACTCACTTAAAATCTATCCTCTTCTGGTCAATAAACTTGTGTTATTGTTTTATCTAATGCAGTGTGTTTAATTAAGGTGCTTGGGAAACTCCATTTGGCCTAATGGATAAGGCATTGGCTTCCTTAACCAGCGGTTGTGGGGTCAAGTCCTATCTGGGCTGAAAAACTACTTCTTTCTTGTATATAGAGGGATAGCTCAGTGGTTTGAGCACTGGCCTGTAAAACCCAGGGTTGTGAGCTCAATCCTTGAGGGGGCCATTTAGAGATCTGGGGTAAAAATTGGGGATTAGTCCTGCTTTGAGCAGGGGTTGGACTAGATGACCTCCTGAGGGTCCCTTCTAACCCTGATATTCTATGAGTGACAAGTGGTGTGCATATTATTTCTTTTAAAGAAATAATGGACTTTATATAAACTTTTGTTGTCAAGGAGAGGGCTGGGTAGTATAGGACATACATTTCTGGGGGGAAATCTAAAACTGGGAGTGTGTTGAGGTCACTTTGCAGTATAACCAAGGCTGGTAAGAGCCATGTTCTGACTGGCTGCAGCACGTACTACACGGACATAGCTGGGAGTGACTTGCATGCTGCAGGTTGTCTGTGAGCAGTCCAGGCTGGAAGATACTGCAGCAAAGCATTGTAAAGGGCATCCCAGGTTGGAGGGCAGGGGTGACACAGCTACTCATTAGTCTGGATTGTACCCTAATATGTTACACACACCGTTCATGATTTTATAGACTTCTATCACAGTGGTTTTCAACCTATGGTCCAAGGACTCCTCCGGGTTGGCAGACTATATCTAAGGGATCCATGAAAGGTTGTCATTACCACAGAACAGTGGTTTTCAACCTGTGGTCCTCAGAGCCCTGAGGGTCTGCAGATTATATCTAAGATTTCCAAAGAGGTCCACGCCTCCCTTCAAAAATTTTTAGGGGTTCACAAATGAAAAAAGGTTGAAAATCTCTGCTCTATCATATCCCCGCTCGTCGTCTCATTTCCCATCTGAACAGTCCCAGTCTTTTTAATCTCTCCTCATATGGAAGCTGTTTCATACCTTTAATCATTTTTATAGCCCTTCTCTGTACCTTTCCCATTTCTAATATATTTTTTAAGATGGGGTGATTACAACTGCATGCACTATTCAAGGTGTGGCCGTACCACGGATTTATATAGTGGCATTATGATATTCAATGTCATGTGATCTATTCTTTTCCTAATGGTTCCTATCATTGTTAGGTTTTTTGACTGGCACTGCAAATTGAGTGGATGTTTTCAGAGAACTATCCACAATGACTCCAAAATTTCTTCCTGGAGTGGTAACAGCTAATTTAGACCCCCATCATTTTATACGTATAGTTGGGATTATGTTTCCCAATGGGCATTACTTTGCATTTATCAACTTTGAATTTCATCTGCCATTTTCTTGCCCAGTCACCCAGTTTTGTGAGATCCTTTTGTAGATCTTTGCAGTCTGCTTTGGACTTAACTATTTTGAGTAATTTTGTATCATCTGCAAACTTTCCCTCCTCACTGTTCACTCCTTTTTCCAGATTATTTATGAATATATTGAACAGCACTGGTCCCAGTACAGATCCCTTGGGGACACTGCTATTTACCTCTCTCCATTCTAAAAAGTGACCATTTATTCCTACCATTTCTTTCCTGTCCTTTAACCAGTTACTGATCCAGGAGAGGAGCTTCCCTCTTATCCCATGGCTGTTTAATTTGCTTAAGAGTGTTTGGTGAGGGACCTTGTAAAAGACTTTCTGAAAGTCCAAGTACACTAATATTGACTGGATCACCCTTGTCCACATATGTGGACTCCCTCAAATAATTCTAATAGAGGGGTGAGGCATGATTTCCCTTTACAAAAGAACCATACATGCATATATAAGATCTCATAATATTCAAAGCCAATCACATAAATTTTTTATGGTGTGATTTTGGAACAATTGGTATTGGCAATACTGGGAAAGAGGCCTGAGAGCAGGGAATCCCCCCCTAATATTGAACTGAGCCTCTGTGGGCCAGGTTTATTAAAGGGATGATTTCAATGGGAGGTATACATTCAGGTGCTTTTGAAAACCCCACTAGGCACCTTACATCGTTAGGTGCCTAAATACCTTTACAATTCTGGCCCTGAGACTAAGATCATACACACTTAGGAGTAATACAGCAACTGCACTGGCCAGGGAAAAGGATGCAAGCAGGAAACAACCAGGCATAATGCCTAATCCTGCACCTTTGTAGTCAGTGGGAGCTTTGCCATCAACTTCAAAAGGCACAGAATCAAGCCCTCGGTTCTCGGCAAAGGCTTAGCTGGTTTTCTTCAGGGGTAGTAGCTTTTGTGCGCTTAATTTTATGCTTATGAGCAGCAGTGCAAAGACTGACAGTTGCCAGCTTTGGCTGAATTGTCTCCTTCTGCTGCTTGCTGAGCAACTGTCCTTAGAGAACAGAGCCCACGGCTTTTTCATATCTGAACCTTATTCAGGCAACACACTCGGAATCAGCTGCAGGATCTAGCACCTATAGGATATAGCAGAATCATAGGGGGTAGAGAGACAGGTGAAGAGAATGATTAGAAACCTGGAGAGACTTCCATATGAGGAGAGTGAAAACACTGGGATTGTTTAGTTGAGGGAACACGTTAGGGATACCTTCTTTATATCAGTCAATATTTTGTGTAAGTCAGGCACTGCCATTCGCCATCTCATAATAGAAGCGTTCAATGAAATTGAAAAACATATGTCAATAATAAAGGAAATACTTTTTACACAATGTATAACTAGCCTGTGGAACTCACTGACACAATATATTGTTCAGGGCAAGAACACAGGAAGATTTAGAAAAGGATTATGTGTGTATATGGCTAGGGGCACCATCTTATTACACTGGGCAGGATAAAAGAAGGGGTAAAAACCCTCCTATTTAAGGGCATAAACCAAGCACGAAGGCCCAGATCATCAAAAAGTATTTAAGCACCTACCTCCTATTGAAATCAATAGTTCAACACCTAGGGCTCTAACTGCCTGGGAAGAAATTTCCCTATGAGCAGGCTGCTGCAGCGTCTCTTGCTTCTTCCTCTGAAGCAGTTGGTACTGGCCACGACCAGAGATGGGGTTCAGGACAAGATGGACCTCCACCCTGTTCCAGGTGGCAATTCCTATGCTCTGTTAAAACAGTTGATCTTGTAGTTAAAACACTGGACTAGGGCTCAGAAGACCTCAGTTCATATCCCAGCTCAGCCAGACTCCCTGTGGGACCTTGGACTTGATCTCTGTACCTCAGAAATACATAGATAAGATAGTGGGGTTTAAGCTACCTTGTTATCAGAGAGCACGTCAGGGCTAAGCTGACAGACTCATCCAAGAATCTTTGCTGGGGCCTAAATTGTGACAGGGTTTGCATTTCTCAATGGGGGCATGAGCTATAAGGGGGGGGGGGGGGCGGCGCAGGGGAAAAGAGGTTTTTTTGTTGTTTTTTTTTCCTTCTTCTCCTTTCAAGTGCTTTATTCTGCTACAGAACAGTCAAAATGAAGATGTAAGCTTTGTGGTTAGTTTAAATTATACACTCTGTAGACACTATAGACTAATTTAAAGGTTACACATACAGCAATAGATATCCATCGGTTCATCTGGATTGCTGAAAACAAGTCAGGCAAAACTTGAAAGGAAATCCTTGTGCAACATTTTTCTGAGGCAGGTAAACAACAGAAGAGGTTGTCTGACTCTGACGATACCAGGCAGCATTAGGTGTTTCGTAAGCAACTTTTTCTAAAGCTATCTTTCTATGAGATATGCTCTAGCTCAACAAAAAGTTACAGGCTTGATGCAGGAGTTACTGGGTGCCATTCTCTGGCCTGTTATGCTGAACTCCAGCATACCTAATCATAATATAAGAACGGCCATACGAGGTCAGACCAAAGGTCCATCCAGCCCAAGTATCCTGTCTCCCGACAGAGGCCAATGCCAGGTGCCCCAGAGGGAGTGAACCTAACAGGTAATGATCAAGTGATCTCTCTCCTGCAATCCATCTCCACCCTTTGACAAACAAAGGCTAGTGACACCATTCCTTACCCATCCTGGCTAACAGCCATTAATGGACTTAACCTCTATGAATTTATCTAGTTCTCTTTTAAACCCGGTTATAGTCCTACCCTTCACAACCTCGTCAGGCAAGGAGTTCCACAGGTTGAAGGTGCACTGTGTGAAGAACCTCCTTTTGTTTTAAACCTGCTGCCCATTAATTTCATTTGGTGGCCCCTAGTTCTTATATTATGGGAACAAGTAAATAACTTTTCCTTATTCACTTTTTTACCTCTATCATATTCCCTTAGTCTCCTCTTTTCCAAGCTGAAAAGTCCTAGTCTCTTTAAACTCTCCTCATAGGGTACCCGTTCCAAACCCCTAATCATTTTAGTTGCCTTCTGAACCTTTTCTAATGCCAGTATATCTTTTTTGAGATGAGACATCTGTATGCAGTATTCAAGATGTGGGCCAACCATGGATTTAAATAAGGGCAATAAGATATTCTCCATCTTATTCTCTATCCCTTTTTTAATGATTCCTAACATCCTGTTTGCTTTTTTGACTGCCGCTGCACACTGCGTGGAAGTCTTCAGAGAACTATCCACGATGACTCCAAGATCTCTTTCCTGATTAGTTGTAGCTAAATTAGCCCCCATCATACATATTTCTTTGGGTGTTAAAAATCTATTAAAAGTACCGTAGAACTTCAGAATTACGAAGCACTGGGGAACAGAGGTTGTTTGTAACTCTGAACAAAACGTTATGGTTGTTCCTTCAAAACTTTGCAACTTAACATTGATTTAATACAGCTTTTAAACTTTATTATGCAGAAGAAAAATGCCTCTTTTAACCATCTTAATTTAAATGAAACAAGCACCGAAACAGTTTGTCAAATCTTTTTTTACACTTTCCTTCCCCCCATCCCCCGTTGCTTTTTGGAGGCCTCTGCTGCAGCCTGGTTGCATACTTCCAGTTCTAAATGCAGTGTGTATTTGACCAGTCAGTTTGTAACTCTGAGGTTCCACTGTATCTGAATTTAATTCTCCAAACCCTTGGGGCACTGTCTCCATCTGGACCACTGCTCTGTAAGGAGACTGGCTGTCTCAGACTCCTGAACTGCAGCCCCAGCAGTCACGGTTACACAATGAAGTCTTTGGGACTACGTTCACAAGGTAACCTCACACTGGGAAAGAAACACCTCTTCAAAATTACACAAAAACAGGAGAGTGATTGTCCTGTGTGACTAGAAGCACCTTGGTTTCATCAGATATTCATTTCCTTATTTGTATGCCCACAGAAATAGAGGGATGGTGCAGGTATCCAGTCTATTAGTGGTGACTGAAAGATGGTTCAAACACATGTGACAGCTGGCCCCAGGTACCAAAACGTTAAAGTCTGATAATCCAGAAAGAAATTATTTTGAAGTGACTCTTCTTGGCTCTAGAAACCAGAACTTTGTTTTCCTTGCTAGGAAGATGGATCTTTGAACTGGCTTAGCATGAAACTTTTTGTATTTAATTTTCATTATAGCTATTTATAGGATTTGGGAAGATTTGACTAACATTTTGACATCTGAGTACAGCAGCTCACAGGGACCTACTGTCAACCAGGAACGGCAGCCCAAATAGAAAGGCACCAGGTGGCCAATACTGGAGACATTCACATAGAAAAGGACACAGCATGAGCAGCAGTAGCCCACTGTCAGTGGGATCCAGAGGGAGGACAGCTGCTCGTCACGATTTCAATCCCCACTCGAACTCCAGAAGGATTCTGTCAACAGGGCTCGTTCCCCCTCTGTGCTATGGAATGAGCCTCCCCCTGCCCCTGCTAAAAAAAGCAACAGCTGGGTGGGGGCGGAGACACAGAACCTACATTCAGATGCCCACAGCATTTGAGATCTGCCCCTTCTCTCCCCTCCCATTTAAGATTTCCCCAGAGAGACAAGTTACTGATTACTGCTATGTCACAACTGCCATGGTATCCCATTAGAACCTGCCTAGGCTTTTCTTTAGAGCTCTTATAAAAAGATGTACAACACACTGATTCGTTCAACTAATAGAACTGCAGCACGCAAATTAACCGGAGTGGAATGGTGCTGATTGATTGAGCTACTTCTGATGTTAGTGTCATGAAGAATGACCTAAAAAGGAGGACTTGTGGCACCTTAGAGACTAACCAATTTATTTGAGCATAAGCTTTCGTGAGCTACAGCTCACTTCATCGGATGCATACTGTGGAAAGTGTAGAAGATCTTTTTATACACACAAAGCATGAAAAAATGGGTATTTACCACTACAAAAGGTTTTCTCTCCCCCCACCCCACTCTCCTGCTGGTAACAGCTAATCTGGAAATGGCCCAACTTGATTATCATACACATTGTAAGGAGAGTGATCACTTTAGATAAGCTATTACCAGCAGGAGAGTGGGGTAGGGGGAGAGAAAACCTTTTGTAGTGGTAAATACCCATTTTTTCATGCTTTGTGTGTATAAAAAGATCTTCTACACTTTCCACAGTATGCATCCGATGAAGAGAGCGGTAGCTCACGAAAGCTTATGATCAAATAAATTGGTTAGTCTCCAAGGTGCCACAAGTACTCCTTTTCTTTTTGCGAATACAGACTAACACGGCTGTTACTCTGAAACCTAAGAATGACCTATCCATGACCATAACAAATAGATACAGCATTTGCTATCAGTGCCTCCATAATATAGTCTACAGCTAAGCAGATTCACATTCATAGCGTGGCAAGCCAGATATGATTTTGTACAGAAGAGAAAAAAGGATTCCATTCCACTACACTCTTTTTATTGACAAAGGAATGGTAGAGATTTTCAGACACTGGAGAAGGAAGGTATGAATCACGGTAACAGGCAGAAGCTTCTACTGGTCTTTCAATTCCTTCAGTCTTCTGATGGCAGATTTGACTGTCACTGCAGAGGTGGTGCTGGAAGAAAAAACCACAGTGTGACTCCTACACTGAAGCAACCAGCAACGCTCATCAATTGCAGTCCCTGTGCACTCGGTTTATCAGCTGAACTGAAGCGGTTATATCTTAGTCCAAATCCACTTTAGTATCTCATGAACCTGAGAACGCAGATCCGAGTCTGAGGTGTACGCACCTATATTTCTTGTATCTCAACATGAACTGTGCTCTGGAGACATCATACAATAACTAAAGAATTGTTATTGTATGATTGTTATTGTATGATTTTAGCATCGGTGGTCCTAGCTCCCCCAAAGCACTAATAATTCTGAATTTGAGGAGTCTGAGTTTAAATTTAAAAAATCCAAACATGTTCAGGTATGAAGTGTACAGTTAAAACAACCAAATAATCTGAACTCTGCCCTGCAGCGATGCCAAAAAGGGAAAAAGTAAGAAACCTAATATTTTGTTCTAAGGCAGTGGTCTCCAAACTTTTTACCTTGCATCCCTCCCTTACTTCTGTCTGCTCTCCTGCCCTTGCCCCAAAGCAAGGACTGTGGCTCTGGGAGAGGGGGACACAGACGGGGTAAGGGCACCGAGGCTGGGGCCACAGCTGGGGATGGGTTGGCAGCTCGGTCAGAGCGGAGCTGGATGGTGCTCCCTCCTCGCCCAGCCAAACATTCCTCCACACCCCATTAGGGGTTGCGCCCCACATTTTGGGGACCTCTGTATTAAGGTCATGTCTACACAAAAGTTGAACCACTTTAACTATACTGCTATAGTTAAAGCAGTAAAACATCACAAGTGTGTATGCAGTTGTAACGGTGCAAATGTGCTTTATACCCGAGAACTGTACAGCTATCTTTGTAGGGAAGGAGTATAAGCCATATGGGTAAGGCACCTCCACTGCACAGGCTGTGACAATTTATTATTTTGATTAATGGTGTGATATTTCTACCAATAGTTAAATACTGGTATAAAACCTGTATGTAGACAAAGCCTTGATCATACAGTGGTTGGGGAACTCAAAACTCAGGCAGTACGCACAGCCCCAGAAGGTTCCTAATTTAAAAATCCTGATTGAAGAAATACCATGAGGAAGGCATCATGCTACATCACTGAGACTGTTTGCCATCATTTATACAACTCTCAGTGAATAAAAGGCCCTGTTCATGAACATTTAGATCCTACTTATAACTGGTGTCAAACATACATATACGTACAACATACTGCAACATTCTCAATATTTAAATCATTTGCTCCCATTGCTGCAGATAATGAAGGGAAGGAAGGATGGCAGTGATATGAACACTATGCCAAAGACAGCCAGTCTGAAATTCTTAGGACCTCCATATGAAAGGCTGGTGTTAAGACTGGGGCAGAATTAAGATGGTATGGGGACCTTAAACTATGTATTATCATACTTTCAGATGTTAGGATTTCTTTTAAGTTTAAACTTAATTGAAATTCCAGGGCTTCCAATATTTTTTAACTAACTAGACTCAAATAACTTTGTTTTGTTAAGACCAGAGAAGACCGTGAGGAACTCCAGGGGGACTTAACAAAAGTGGGGAAAGAGCAGCACAACAGACAAGATTCAATAGTCACAAAAGCGAGCTAATTACATGCTGAACAGAATATGAACTTCTCATACTCTGAACTAACTGTAACCATGCAGGGGAAAAGCCTGGGTTCCACTACAGCTAGCTCAAGGAAGAGACCTGCTTAAATAAGCGGCAGTCATCAGAAAAGCAACAAAAATGTTGAACTTTGCTTCAACTACCAGACAACAGAGCCAGTTATTATTTGTTTCCTTACTTATAGGTCCAGGCACCACCAGCTACTGTCTTCATACAGGATCCACAATGCCAGATACCTACAGCTTTCCTCTTCATCTTGGTCTGTAACACAAAGTATTTATATACTTTCAGTTGAAGAAACCAAGAAATCTAGACATCTTTGTTCAGTAAAAACACATGACCTTTGAACATTGCTCCAAAAACACCACAATGGAACTACGATATAAACGTCAAGGTTTTCACAACAGCAACATCTGCAACCAGGGCCAGAAGAAACATGAAGACATCAGACTTTCCACAGGTCTCTTGACAAAGGCCAAAGAACTTCGGTAATGGCATTTACTCAGGCAGATAGAAACTAAAGCCAGTTCAGCTCCTCTGCTTTATTTCTCTGTTTGGGGGAAAAAAACAGCTGCAGGGGTTTTTTTATATAGTATTTATAACAGTGATAACTATATAGCATCCGATGAAGTGAACTGTAGCTCACGAAAGCTTATGCTCAAATAAATTGGTTAGTCTCTAAGGTGCCACAAATACTCTTTTCTTTTTGCGAACACAGACTAACATGGCTGTTACTCTGAAACCTATAGCTAGTCATTTACTCTACAAGTTGTTTTAGCTTAAGAAAGCTGTTTTAATATTGTGTTCTGCTCATATGGTTGTAAAACTATTTTAGCTTTAACTGATATACAAGCCTACAATGTAGGAAAAGTGCTCCAGTATCAATCCAACTCTGAATGGACAGATACCTACATCATAAAAAGCCACTACTGTAACTGGAACCTTTATTGGAGTCTCAACAAAAAAAAAACAAGATTGAATGGGTCTGGGATACTAAACTGCTCTCGCTCTTAGAACTGCTTCCTCTAGGTGAATTCTGAAACGTATTGGTGGGACAGCTTGCAGCTCCCATGCGGTATCTATTCAATGCCTTCAAAGCTATCAAACGGGCACATTTCATAAGCACTAACTTCACACAAAGAATGACCTCAGCTTTCTATTAGCTTTTAAAGTCCAACACTTAAGCTTGGGTACCTATAGCTCAGTACCTAAATCCATAGTCAGCCATTAAAGGTAGAAATCATTAGTAAGCATGGGTGCTCAGCACATCTGAATATGAGGCCACTTTAACTGCAGGCATCTGAATCTGAAAATTCTGGCTAAATTACTAGGTCAAAGAGTGAGTGGCCTTTCAAATTTCTGAGACCTGAATTCAAAACTTTTTTGTCACATACAAGATCTACTCCTGGGGGTAATTCTATGCCATTGCACGTGCATAATTAATGAGCCGTGCATATTTTTAATTTTTTTGCACAGAAAAAAGCTTCTGCTGGAAAGTTGATGCAGTTACGCCTTTTGCTAACTGGAGGGCGCTTTGGCACTGGAACAGAGCAGCAGCTCCCAGCAGCTAGGGATGAGAAAGAGCCAGTCTTCTTCACAGCGCCTGTTGGGCCAGGTCAGGAGACATGATGAGACAAACAGCATGGGGCTGCTGGGAGGGTGAGGGGGAGTCAGTCAGGGGCTCATAAGGGCTAGTGGGGGAGGGCATACTGGGCCAAGGGCCAAATGGGTGAGGAGGCACAGGACCAAAGGGGAGAAGGAGGTGCAGGGCCAGATGGGGATGGGGGAGCTGGACCACATATGGATGGGGGGTGGCTGAGTGGGGACACAGAGACACATGGGGATGGGGGGAGGGAGTGCAGGGCCACCTGTGGATGGGGGGAGGGGTATCTGATTGGGGGTGAAGGGACACATGTGCCTGACTGAATGGGAAAGGCTAGGGGTCAGCCAGGGTCTGCATGGTGGAAGCTCCCTAACAATCCCTCCCCTCTCCCTGCAAAACACCTGTTCCATACTTTTCCCACCCATACCCAACAACCCTCCATGTTCACACCCAAACTCCTTCCCAGCAATTACTTCCCTGTCCCTCAGCTCCTCCATTACCCTGAATCCCCCAAGTCTTTGCACTGCTTCCGAGGGGTGCGGGAAATTTGGTTCTGTATTGTAGTTTAAATGAATTATTACTCAGAGTTCTGTATTAAAATGCGTAGTAAGGAATCTATTTGTTAGAAAACATTTCCTGAATATTTTTTGTTGTTTGTATTGTTACAGACATACTTGCTGACAGGTATTTTGAAATAAACGACCAAAAGTAACTGGAACTAGTGTGATTATTTTCAAATTCTACAAAATTCTGCATATTTTATTGTCAAAATAACACAATATAATCTGTGCAGAACTTTTAATTTTTTGGAGCAGAATTCCCCAAGCAGTAAAGATCAGTTAGATGGTTTCATGCCTCCTCCCCAAAATATATAATGCACACAACTGGCAGTCTCACTCAAGAGATCCAGACTGGAAAAACTTGACAATTATTGGGCAAAACAAATTAATACCATGTTTTAATAACCAGTGATACATGAAAAGCGTATAATTTTA